ATATTCAATAATAACTTTTATTATTTTACACTTTGTTGCTTAATTAAATGATTTTTTATTCAATGAGTTGTAAATTTTTTAAAATAAATAGTGATTATAATTTATAATACATAAAATACAAAGATACACCAAAAAAAAAAGATCTAGTAGGAATAAATGGGTTGATAGGTTTTGATATAGAATTTAAGAAAGTTTGTGCATTTAATTATTTTTGCAATTGATATTTGTTGAACACCGATACCCTCTTTTTTTTTTCCTACCTAATCGTGCGGATTGAAACAAACATCAGTTATGAAAGGTATTTTCCTTTTTTTTTTCTTTTTTTTCTCTCTCCCTTTCTCTCTCTCATTTTGTGGTCAAACTTCTGTGTTTTTCTTTTCTGTTCCTTCTTCCTTCTTCCTTCTCAAAAGTACAGACCACATATCCATAATTATTTCTCATTTTTCGAATCGATTTTTTATCCATAACACACTCACATAAAATACACCTCTTCCAAAATTTCCAATTCCTTATTATTTGTATTATTGATTAGGCAAAACAAAGGCTCCTTTGAATGGTGCCCCCTTCAAATTAGGCCCTGTCCTGGGCCCTAGGCCGTCGCCCAAGTCGCCCTGGGCCAAGGCCGGCTTTGGGTTTCGGACTAAACGTTCCTGGCCTAAAAACACCTGAATTTTAAACGGGCCCCCAATAAAAGGACCTAACTCTAACTCAAACGGGCCTCAGGCTAATCGAGCTATAATAATAATAATAATAATAATAATAATAATAATAATAATAATAATAATAATAATAAAATCAAATGGCTAGTTAACAATTTTTTTTAATGGCTATACCACTTTATATATACAACTACACTTTATATATGAACACACATTACAAACTCTTAATAACATATTTTTTCTTTAAAGAAAAAAATGTTTGAACTATTACTTATAATTATCATTTTACTAGTTATTCTGTACGATTTGAGAATTTTCAGGATATTGTATCATAATGCTGAATTTATATTTTATCTCGGTATTCTATGTATTAGGTCTTTATCTCATGTGTTTCAAATTAGTTGTGCTGCTTGGCTTAAATATTTTTGTGTGGGTAGAATAACAAAATTGTTAATAATTATATTTCACAATCTTAATAACCTCATAATTACATGAGAAGTAGAATAGAAAAATTGTAATACACAATGAATCTTGATGCATATTCCTTGTCTGGTGCAAACATTTACACTGCACATTTCAAGTTATACGGGATAGTCCTAAATGGTTCGGACCTAAAAAGCTTGAATTTAAACGGACTATTAATAAAGGGCCCTAGCCTTGACTTCTTTCGAGCTAAACGGGGTGGCACACCGGGCAAATGACCGTTTAACATCACTATTGAAAACAATAACCTTGCTCGTGCATTATTGGTTCAGAGGAGCATCAATTGCATTTGGATTGGCCTACGAGGCACAAAATCTGCATTGGTATAACTAGAGGTTTAGTTTGTCCACATGAACAGTCCCGGCTGAAATTCGTCCACTGTGACATCAATGCAACAAACGTGCTTCTCGATAAAAATCTTGTGCCCAATATGACCGATTTTGGTCATGGCAAGCTCGATGAGGAGAAGAATACCCATAAAAGCACTACTAGGACTTTGTGAGTATACCATTAAATACTTGCATAAAAATACTAGTCGTTTTCTTGGGATGCTTATCAAAAGTACCCTTGTGGACAAGTAACACTAATTGTATCAAGACCATATTTTTATTGACCAATTATGCAGGGGATATATGCCCCCGCATATGGATAACCGTACCAGGTCGGATGAACTCGAGAAGTAACATGACTGGACCGAATCGTTCAGCAGGTCGAGTGGAGATTGAAGACTTTGCAGGTCGAATAGGACATCAAGGATACAAGAAGCATCGTCAAGTCAAATTAGGGCACTCGAGTCTGGTTGAAGTTCGATCTGAAGGTACATATGATCGAAATATCGACCAGCCAAGCAAAACATTAGAGCTCATTATCAGTGGCATCTATCTCAAAGTAATCAAGTTCGGTCGCACGATTAGACCGTGTAATAAGGAAGAGTAAAAGATAAAAATGAATATTATTGGGATAAGATCCTCACATGGATAAGGTCACGTAGCCTAACAGAATTGGGTAGTTCGGGTAGCTCGGGCAGTCTGGGCAGCCCATCAGGAATCATTGGGCAACAAGGTATCATCTTATACTGCACTTCATCTTCTACAAGTGTTAACTTAAGCATCAGAGACTCTTCACCTGAAAACCCCTCCGGTGTGAGAGTTTTTGCAGGTACAAAAGCGTTCAACCGACGATGAACTCGAAGTAGACCGATTTCCAACCAGTCGGAGGTCTTTTATGTACCAACGCTATTGTGGATTTTCACAGGCATTAATGTTCATTTTGTCTACTTTATTGTACATTCTGTAGTGTGTTTACATTTTGGTAAATCAGTGAACTTTTAAATGTGTTGGTAGGGTTAATTCTTTCATTTCGTAAACTTAAATTGTGCAGGTTACCGTTACTAGGGTTCAAGCACAAAGACCATGTTGAGAATCCGATTGGTCTTCCACGTGGACAGAGCGAGGGAGTTGTAGAAGTGCTTGGAGATTGTGGTTTTCGAGATCGGCCCAGCAGCGAGAGGGTGGTGTACAGGGAGGCGTAGAGAGGCTGCAGATTATGCAATTGGTCTTCGGATGAGGGGTGGAGGAGGGGGGCAACGAGATAGTGGCGGAAGGGGTTGGGCTGGTTGGCCCAATCGAGGGTGTGGGGGCCATGCGCGTAGCTGGCGAACCTGTGTTTGGTCTAGTCATGGTACCTCAATAGCTGGATTAGGCGATCCTATTGGTCATCGGTGGCCGTCGGCGGCTGTTGGCCGAAAATCCAACCCCGTGACTATACCAGATGAGTTGCGGCATAGGTCAAGCTCTTGTTTATTGCATTTCATTTTATTTTTTATTTTTATTTTTTTTGTTGTTAGGTTATAAAATCTTATAAATACGATTTATTCTTATTTTTTTCAATTGAACTTCACTATCACCCATACTTTTATTTAATTATTCTCTTGAATGTGTGTCTATATCTATATATGTATATATAATTATAGGTTATCAATTTAATGTTATTTACTTGCTATTTTTTTCATTTATTTATAGAAAGTGAACATCGCATTTTAAATTAAATAAATATAATATTAATACATATATATAGTTTATATATTTTCTTTTCACATGAATGCATACGTACGGACAAGTTTAATTACTAATATATAACATTTCCACGTTGTAATGTTGTATGATGCTCTCTAAATGGAATAGCACCTATAGTTTGAAATATTAGTCAATTATAGATTTCATCAAATTTATAGATAGATATGATTCTGCACTTTATTCACTTTCGTAATTAGAGCCAATCTATAAAGGATAATTTATTGTGTATCAGCATTTCAAGCAGGCTAATCTATACTTATATAAAAGGGATCCTATTTACTACAAATAATATTCAGAAAAGTCAACTGCATTTAATGTCATTACTATTTTGGTATTAAAATACTTTATTTAATTATTTTCTTATTTGATTATTTAATTATTTAAATAAAAGTCAACTTTTATTTGTTTATTTAACTATTTAATTAAAAGTCAACTTCATTGTAAACCTAATAACATAAGTAAACCTAATAAGTAAATTTTTACTAATATTATAAAAAACATAAACCTATTAATAAGTAAACATATTGCTACAATATTAAAATGTCATCATTTCAACCTAATAAGTTACTTAGATCTATTGCTACAATATTAGGTTACTGTCCGATTAATATACCAATTAAGCAGGATTTTAATGTAACAAGGATTTGGCTGAAAGAATATACTTAATGAATTAGCAGATAATAAAGTCATTTACACTTAATGTAACAAGGATTTGGATTCACATAATACTTGCCTAATTTAAAATATGATTTTAAGGATTTTATATACTTCATGTAAATGAGTAGATATCAAAAAATTGGTCATTTACACTTGGACTAATTTAAAAATTATTCCTTAAATGAAAGAATTTATAGATAATTGTTATCTCTACTCAATCACTTGATTATTTTCAATATAAAAAGAGACAGATTACAAATTAGTGAATCATATATTACCTAATTCAATATCTTAACATTAAGGAATAAATCCATAGTATTATGTAAATTCGTATCTCATATTATTATATCATTAAGAATATATTATAGTTATATTATCAAATAATAAAAAGATATTAAATCCATATTGTAAAAAAAATAATAATTTATATAATTTTATAACAATTCCAATACACTATTTAACAGTATTCTTTTTTCTTATATAATAAAATAATAATTAAATATTATAGGTGAACAACAATAAGTAAAACTGTTACTTTCTCTCATATCAAGGGATAAATTTATATGCTAAAATTAAATCTTTATTTGTATAAATGTTTTAGTGAGATCATATATTAATTATTTTACAAGCTAGCCCTAACATGCTCATACTTAATGTTCTGGCTAAAAAACAATGCTGGTTAAAAGATGTGGAAAAAAAACTTATAATAACGTCCTATTATTTTTTAGACTTAACGTTGATTAAAAGAAATAGAAAATAGATAATAACTCTATTATATTTTAGACTTCAACGGACAAGGCTGTAAAAATAACTCATTTAATATCTCTGTTCCGTACATCGCACGGGTACGTACTAGTACTTCTAATAGTTTGTTCACATATTTCTTCATGCTCATACATTTGAGTCAAAAACCAAAAAAGATTTACATCCGAATGGATTTAATTCATCCACAAAAATAATTAGTACTGCAACTACTAATAATAATAAAAAAAATAATAATAATAATAATACGGTCAGCGAAAAACTGCTGCCTGCAGGAGCCCATTTTACCCCGCATTCCGAGTTTCTGACACGGTTTAATAAATTGACCACCCGAATGAGTCGTGACCTCCCTGACCGAGTCAACTCACTTTGGCGTGTGAACTCGGATCGCCTCCACGCGACCACCCTCCAAATCCACCTCGGCCGCCCCACAGCCGCTGCTCTCCGCCCGCGGCGATTTCCTACCCATGCTCAGCAGCCTCTTGAACGACAGCAGCCGAGCCACGGGCGAGGACTGAGTCAACTCGCTCTCCAGCTCAGCCAGCCTCGGCGGGCCCACCTCTATCCTCACGTCCACCGCCTTCCTCCTCCCGCCGGAAGACGCCGGGCCGGCGTCACCGCCGCACTCCCCCCGCCAGCACGCGGCGCAAATTCCGTCGGATCCCGACCCGATCGAGCCCAGATTTGGCCCGCAGGCCGGTTCCGCCACCGGTTCCGCCGGAGACCGACAGAGGGGGCAGGTGGTGTGGGAGCGGAACCACACGTCGATGCAGCTGACGTGGAAGGAGTGGCCGCAGCCGGGCAGGAGGCGCACGATCTCCTTCTCCTCGAACTCCGACAGGCACACGGCGCACTCCAGCAGCGGCCGCCCCTTCCCCGCCGTCGACGGCGCGGCGGCGGAGGAGAAGACGAAGGCCGGGAGCGCGCCCAGCACTGCCGGATCTACTCCGGCGCGGCGCTCCTCGGCGGCGGCGTCGATGCTCTGGGAGGCGGCGGCGGCGTCGCGGCGGAGCCACCACCGGACGTAGATGTGCAGGGCGACAAGAAGGACGAGGAAGACGAAGATGGTAATGATGGCGGCGAGGAGGAGCATCTCGCCGTTGAAGGCGTGGCCGCCAGCCGGGTGGGCCTCGGCGAGCGTGTTTTGGTCCATAATATAAACTCCGGCGAGAGAAAAAAAATTTTGGCCTGAGAACGAGTGAGTGTATTTGAGTGAGTGAAAATGAGAAATGGCAACTCTATATATATAGACGAGTGGCTGTTTGAAGAATAAACTGAAAAATTGAATTAAAAATAATAATAAATTAGAATAAGGTGAAGTTTCAGAGAAGAGTCCGAGTCAATTTGTTGAAATTTAAGTAATGTTTCGTGTGGTTGACTAAGTCATATATATGAATGGAAGATGCTGAGATTGTTGAACGAGAGAATATTATGTGTTTAATCACGAAAATGGCCAAAGGAGAGATTTTCGTTTCGAATATATTCACTCCACGCCCTATTGATTTTTACAATGTTCTAAATGTGGGCTGGCGACTAGCATCTAGGACTCGGATGCTTAGACCAGAATTAGACACTGACGTGGCATTATATAGAAGCTCGATTAATTCATATAAAAATATAAAAATATATAAAAATATGTTATTATATATATTTCAAATTTCCTTTGTATATGACATCTGAAATCAGATATTTTAATTCAATGTTAGTTGTTAATTAAACTGAGGGCTAGTTTAGGATAGCATGCATGCATGACCAGTTGATTAAGTTGCATGGCATGGCACAAGTGAGTAATGTGTGCATTTACAAGATAGTTCAATAGTTCCTTATTATTGGGGAGCAGAGCAAAATGAGAGCACCAGCTAAATAATGTTATTTTTATTTATGGATTAAAAAAGCAATTATTAATTCAAGCAAGGTTTATAACTTTTAGGTTGTTGGAGTTATTGTGTAATGATATAACAAATTTTCCATGTACTCACACAGTTTACAAATAAATAGTTTTTGAGCAAACTTCAGTCAACACGGGGAGTTGATATTTTATGTAGTTTAGAAGTAATTATAATTTATACCCAATACCCATACCAACCACACATTTTCCCCATGGAGTCTTCAGTCCACGCGGACCAAAAGAGCAAAATCCATCTTTTCGTCAGCACTTTCTTCGACAACTTATCTTCTAAAATTTCAAAACCTAAAATGAAATGATAAATTATGTAATTAATGGATTTGAATCTAATTGAAAAAATAAAAAAAAATAATACAAGTACATAATAAATGTACATATATAGAGGTGTACATAACACTCACATGGAGCGGGGTCCACTTGATTTTTTATTTTTTGTCAGTCCCACTCAATGTACAATATTATGTACCTATAGGAGCAATTCTCAATAAATAATTGAGTTTTCTAAACTCATTGATGAGTTGAGGTATGATTTGGCGATTCCAGATAAGTGATTCGTCATTAGATAACACTTTTTCTAATGAAATAATCGGAATTAAATAAAAACACTTTTTCTAATGAAATAAATCGTATCAAAATCCAAACAATGGGAACTTGGTAAAAGAACAGCACACACAAACTATCACAGTATCAACAGACTAATGTACATTTTTCTTAATTGATTTTTTTTTTTTTTATTTCAGAGAGTTACATACACTGATTTTTTTAATAAAAGTGATTCACTTTATTCATTTAAACTTATTTTTTTTACTTCTATCATTCATAGAATAATCTGGACATTTTTATTTTAAGAGATGAATCCTATGAATTTGATCAAATACTAAAAAATCCAATGTTACACGCTGGTAGGTACGAATTTTGCCATGAATGAAGTATAAAAGTTGAAAAATTCCACACATGCAGTCCACTAGATTTTTTATGTTCATTTCATTGGTTTGATCAATACACATTGATATGAATATGTGTGATGTATTGTTCCAACTGTACTAAAATATCTAATATATCCATATCAAAGAATAATTCTATATTTCCAAATTCATAGCCCGAATTATTGGACCAGTCAAAAATTTCCACTCTTACATACCAAAACATTTGTTGGCCTCAACATAAAAAAAATCCATGAACTTGGCAAATACATAATCATAGGCCAAAAAAAAATAAAAAAAAAAAAAAATAATAAAAAAAAAAACTTCGCATCAAGGGCATCCTGGGCTTCTACGACTGGCTGTACTATCCGGGAAAAAAAGGGCTGCAAACAAATGTGCGTGTAAAGTAAAAACCCGTTGGGGATTCTGACAGGCAGTATCATCTGCAATCGGCTCCAACTGCTTCGTAAATGGACTTGAAACCATCCTTCTCTAAGCATTTCGCGAGTTCATCCTAACAAATAATAGTAAAGATAGCATAGGGTAAAACTAGCATATTTTATAACAAATTGTAAACCATCATAAAATAAGGTCAAAAGTCATGTATTACATGCAATATCCAAAACCCGGCATACTCTTTGTAGTAAGAATGTGAATATTTTTATTAGAAAATGACGTACTTTAGAAAACAACATAAACAGAAGTATGACATTTGATACTATAAGTATGTATTTTGTTTAAATAGCATGATGGGTCGACCCGCCTAACAGTTAGGTTGCCTCACACAAGAATTTGTATTTATATTTAAGCAATTATTCCAAAGTATCTAAAGACTGTTGTGTAATTGTTAGACATAGGAAATATTTGACTTTATGTCCCCATAAAGAAGTTTCTAGCACAAAAGCTAAATTGCATTTTAAGTCCAGTAGCTGTAAGGGATTTGACCATAATATTCCAGAAAAAATCTTAAATCTGTACCTTTCAGATGCATTCAAATACTACCGCATGATGCTTTCACACAGTGACCCTAAGATCTGAATCAAGAGATCTTATAAATATTAAATATTAGAAGATACTTCTCCTCAGATTTGTATTTTTATATTTTTTGATAATAACTACACTACTAAAACTGCAATTCGGCTCACCACTAATCACTCAAGAATTTTTTATTATATTGAAAAAGAGTGATCTTTCTACCTTTATCTGAGGTATTAGGGCAGGTCCTCCATATGCAAATGCAGTATACAACTGAACAAGAGTTGCCCCAGCTCGTATTTTCTTGTACGCATCCTCTCCACTGAACAGTTCATTTTATTTTGGGGGTTAAGTTCACGACAAAACAATGACATAATAATGGTTGAATTGAACACCGAGGCTACCTGCTCACACCTCCACAGCCAATCAAAGGAATCCTTCCCTAAATGAATTAAAGGAGAGACACAATTTAATCAGTTTTTATTTGGAGATAATGCTAAGAAATTTTTTGTAAGAATACAAAAATAATAATAACAATAATAATATTAGTAGTAACAATAATAACAGCCATTTCAAAATTCAAACCCATGCAAATGAAGTATATTGGGATTGAATTTACCTTGGTAAGAATATACATGTCCTTGAGTATATTTGTGGACAGGTTAAAGAGCGGCTTTCCACTCAAGCCACCAGTTTCTTGAGCCACGGGATTTTGACTTATGGCATCCGGTCTCTGAATAGTTGTGTTTGATATGATCTAACATACATAAATTGAAAAATTTGTCGAACAATGCCTTCTATCACACAATCATCTCCCACGGAGATAATTTCTAAAGTAGTATAGCAAAAATGAAAATGCTGTAATTTTAAATTAAAATAACATCACACAATGCAAGGAATAAAATAATGGACAAGGAGATAATATCACAAGTATTGGGAAAAAAAATGGTTTAAGGAACTATAGCGGAAATGAACAACTCACCAAGCCATCTACTCGAAGAGCAAGAGCAACCTACATATGCAGAGAGCACGTTCATTCAATGAATTACAGACAGAGAACTAGGTAATAAAAACATAATAAATAAATTGTACTGGTAATAGACTAAAATAGTAATAATATGCAATTAAATAATTACAAAGAAAAAAAAAAAGATATATGTTCATACTGCTCCAATATCTTCAAGATCCTGCTTAGACAAGTCTGGAGCAATTTTCACAAGCAACGGCGGTGGGCCTTCCTCACCCCATTGCATTTCGTCACGAGCCGCTTGAACCTACCGAAGTTAAAAGGAATGAAAAAATATATCAATGCTTCATATGTATCCATAATGTCCAAAAGTACATTAGTCAATATGGTAAAAGAAGAAATCTGTAAGACCCTTACCTTTTTCACGAGGTCTTTTAATTGTTTTCTCCCCTGAAGTTGCCGCAGTCCCGGAGTGTTAGGGGATGAAATATTGATAACCTTCAGAATCAGGCATTTGCGTTAATGGACAGCGAAGTAAATGGAAAAGAGAGAGAGTGAGATAGAGAGAGAGCGCATCATTTTTGTAAACATAAATATTGTCCAAAATCACCTTGTCACATAAAAACATGTGTAAATCATAAATAAAGTTTAAAGAGTCCATTTAATATCCTAACTAGAAATAGTAAGGTGGTGCTTCGATATAAGTTGTGATTGGATTTTTCCAATCACAACTCAAATTTAACTCAAATTTAACTTAACCCTCCTCAATATTATCAATATAATCAATATAATTGAACAATACCAATCAATCATCCTCACACATCACATCAACTTTAATTCACTATTCGTCCACTCAAATAATTTTAACTAGCCATCGCTTCGAATCACCTCTCTCCTAATTCTACTTCAAATGAACTTTAATCATTTTATTTTAAATACTATTCTAATACAAACTCAAAACCCACTGAAACTTAACCCAAACAACTTTTTCAAAATTTAACCATGGTTAACCCAGAAAAGCCAATCAAAACCCAAATATCCCATCAAAAACTTATATCCAAGCACATCCTTTTTCAGATACTAATGATACAGATTCTTATCATACCACTATAAATCAGATCATAGTACTTACAATATGCCGGAGAATATAACCAAATATGGAAAACAATAGATAGCATACCAAGTAATCGGCAAACTGAGACAAAGTGTGAACTCCTTGCACATAATCAGCTGCAGCATCCTCACTTGTCTTGTTCTTTCCGAGATTAACCCCAAGAATACCGGGACCCGCTTTCCCTCCATGGATGGCCTCCTCTTCAGTGAGGGATGAGCTGCTTGAAGTTTCCAGCTTCCTTTTACCATGTTGAGCACCCAAACGCTTT